ATACATACCTCTGTCCCGTCAGAAGGACATTGGTTTTTTTGCTTCTATAGAGAACCCAGCCCAAGACACAGGGATTCACTCTCAAGAAAGTAAGATGTTAAGATGTTTCATTTATGTTATACACATAAATGTATGTGACAGGTCAGGTTAAATGTCACAGGGAATGGTGAGGATTATGGCAAACTGAAGAGCTTATTGACCAAAAGTAAGGAAGGGGTAAGATAGCGGAGGATCTTGAAAGCTGAGCTAGACCTGGGGTTTGTGTTTATTTACTTAGGCCAAGGAGATTTGGGTTGAAGATGGAAGCCCAGGGAAGGGCGGAGATTCAGATCCCATCTCCCACCCTCCAAATCACCAACAATAGATTAAGCAAACAATAAGAAAGGTTGCTTTGTTTTCTCTATTTTTTTTTTTAGTGGAAATATAAGCTCAAAAGCAAGACAGACTTTCCCTGGTACCAGAAATCAAGACGATAGCCCAGGCCATACAGGGACACGGGGCTGCTGAAGCCCAGTAGTGCACAGGGATGCTGGGATCGGACATAGCCAAGACCCGGCATTTGAACACCTTCATGAGGACAGAGGTCAAGAGTGAGGGGCCAGGAAGAGCAGGGGCCCGAACTGGACATCTCTGTACAAAACTGGGAATTGAGAAAGGACTTTCTCATCTGGCACAAAAGAACAGGGACCAAAATTCCCTCCACAGGCCCTGGGGTGTGGTAGTGAACGAAGAAGGTCTCCCGAGAGGTGACAGATTTCACTGGGAGAAATGAGAATCCCAAGGCTCACCAAAACTCTGCTGCCAAACTCTTGCTCTGAAAACTCATTCATAAACTGGTCAGAAACCTGTGTAGCCTGTAAGACTATGGCAGAAGCCAAAGCAAGCCGGCCCCAGGAGGTATAGGTGGGGCTCAGGGAACTCCCAGAACTCCTGTGGGCTGACTCACACCCAGAAGAGAGGCACGAAGGCATCAACAACGTCCACAGCGTTACAGCCATGGTGGAAGTCCCCCAGAACAGTGGCCATATAGATAGTAGTGAGGGCTCCAGCCTTCCCCGGCCCAGTGCTCTTTGGAAAGGAGAAATTGAGAGTCAGCAAGATTACAGAACTTGCCTAAATCGCACAGCCATTGAGTCCTTACTGCTCTATGTCCCAGTCTCCTCGTCTCTAGAATTCTAGTAATTCTAGCGTCCCGACCTCACTTCAGGACTTTTAGAATGTGAGGTGCTACCTGCAGAACTGAGACTTCAGCAGTGAGCTCTAGTGTCTCAGAGATGAGGAGGACAGCACAGGATGCGGCAGGGGTAAGGCTGGTTATTCACAGGGTCCTAACAACAACTGTACTGTTGGCACACTGTACTGTTGTTGTTGTTAAGTGCCGTCGAGTTGTAGATGACTCATAGCAACCCAATGAACAAAAGACTTGAACACTTGCATAACTTTCATCGTTTCTCCAGATTCATAGGCTTTCCAGAGGCAAGCCATTTCGGAAGTGGACACCACTCCTGCTTCCAAGCTTGTTTTAATTGGGAAGCTCCACCAAACACTGTCCACCATGGGTAATCATTATCACATTTGACACATCAGTGTCACAGGGCACATTGTACTAATACTGATAAAATAAATTTTAATAGTTTCCAGAGAAGGGAGAAAAACATAATAAAGAAAGTTGTTTCTCTGTGCCATTGAGTTTGAACCGACTCACAGCTGACCTTCCTGTGGGTTTTCGGAGGCTGTAATTGCACAGGAGGAGATTGCCCATCTTGCTCCCATGGAGCAGCTGGTGGATTCGAACTGCATGCCTTTGGGTTGGTAGCAAATAGCTCCCTAAATAGAGAAAAGACACTTATTAGAATAAGTGAAGAGAATTCAACTTTGATTGAGGATCAGACTTTGGGAGTATTATAACTAATGTTACAAAACTAAATGTGTATGAATAATTGAATGAAAAACGAATAGACATTGTAAGCTTTCATTCAAATTATAGTAAAAATTTTTTTTAAATTTTATTTTGTTTTCTTGTTTGTGTGTGTGTACCGTCAAATCAGATCTGACTGGTACAGGAGGAAATTGTTCCTCCTTTTTCAGCAGAGCATCTGGTGGATTTGAACCGTGAACCACTGGGATTGCAGTGCAGCTTCTTGCCACTAGGCCACCAGAGCTCGCCAGAATGTTTTTAAAAACACTAAAATTTTTAAGGGAGCTCTGGTGACCTAGTGGCAAGAAGTTGCACAGCAATCCCAGAGGCACATGGTTCAAATCCACCAGATGCTCTGCTAGAGAAGGAGGGGCAATCTCCTCCTGTACCAGTCGGATCTGATTTGACGGTACACACACACAAAATAATAAAAAAAATAAAATAAAATTTTTAAAAGCAAAGCTCAGAGATGAAGGAATAGAATATTTAACAAAAACATAACTTTTGGAAGAAAGTACTCATACATTAAGAAAAGGAAATTACAGCAAGTAAAAATGTAAATATGGAGAACTTACAGGCAGACTTTTAGAGAGCACTAGAATTTATTGGATAGAAAAGTGCCAGCCCTAGGTTTCAAAATCCCATTGTTGCTGGGAAGAGTTGTGGGCAGGAATACCAGGGATAAAAATTGGGATGTGGCCAGAGATCTGGACAATGACTAAGGATGACAGAAGAATTGATGCCTTTGAGTTGTGGTGCTGGAGAAGAGTGTTGAACATACCATGGATTGCCAAGAGAACAAACAGGTCTGTCTTAGAGAAGGTGACACCAAGTTTCTCCTCAGAGGCTAGGACTTTGAGGCTTTACCTCAAATACTTTGGGCCCGTGGCCAGGAGGGAACAGTACTTGGAGAAGGTCATAATGCTCAGAATAGAGGAGAGACAGCACAGGAGAGAAAGACCCTAAGTGAAATGGATTGACAGAGTGACTGGGATAATGGGGGTAAAAGTGTCAAAACAGTAAGACTGGCTCTGAATAGAGCAGGTTTCATAGGGTTCTATGAGTCACAGGTGGCACCTCAACTGTAGATAACACCAGTTTGCGATATAATAGCATCAGTGACTGAAGCATAGAGACACATTAAGGAGCCCCCGGTGTCGTACTGTACAACGGTTACAAAGTAATTACTAACCAAAAGGTCAACAGTTCGAATCCACTGGCTGCTTCTGGGGAGAAAGATAAGCAGTCTCTGCCCAAAAGATTTACAGCCTCAGAAACTGATGGAGGGTCACTCTGAAAACCACTGTGTTCATGATTTCCATCAGGAGTGAGCACGGTTTGCTGGGCAGTGAGGCTCAGTGGCTACAACTGCAGGCACATTCCTGGAGTCACATCTCACGTCAGTTGTTTGACCTTGCACTTGTTCTTGGACAGCTTCTCTGGCTCTTTTTCTCACCTGTAAATAGCACCTGAAGAAGGAGATTGTCAGGATTCAGCATAAGGCTTTGGCATCATCTCTGACTGAATATAGAATCAGAGAGCTGGACAATGACTAGGGAGGACAGAAGGAGAATCGACGCCTTTGAGCTGTGGTGCTGGAGAAGAGTATTGAATGTACCATGGACTGCCAAGTAAACAAACAGATTCATCCTAGAGAGGGTTAAACCAGGCTACTCCTTGGAGGCAAGGATTCTGGGGCTTCGTCTGACATACTTTGGACATGTTGTAAGGAGAGACAGGTCTTTGGAGAGGGACATCATGCTTGGTAGGGTAGAGGGACAGCGCAGGAGGGGAAGACCCTCTATGAGGCGGATTGATTCAGTGACTGGGGTAATCGGGATGGGTGTGTCAGAGGCAATGTGATTGGCACAGGATAGAGCAGGGTTTAGGGCTGTTGTACATAGGGTCACTATGAGTCGCAAACGACTCGACGGCACATAACAACAAAAACAATAAGAAGTATAGACTCTGAGTTCAAATCCTCTGACCTTGACGATTATTAACTAGTCATCAAACCTTGACGTTTAACTTCTTTACATCAGCCTCCTGATCCACAGTGGGGAAGATAATAGTAATCCTATCTCATAGAGTTTTTTTGTGTGTGTGAAGCTAAATTAAGCTAACGTGCATGAAGTACTTTGAACAAGCCTGACATGTGTTCAAAGCCTTATGAGGTTATTGTAAGGATTAAATGAGTTTGCTCATGTCCTTAGAATATAGTAAGTGTTCATTTTCACAGCAAATCACTTAGTCATTGTTCTCTGTCTTATTGAACTTTGCTATATATTGCTGAAGTGAAATGGCATCTCATTGCTTTCATAAGTATCTATCTGGTGGCTAATAAATGAGAGTATTTCCTTACAATTAAAAAAAAAAGAATATAGTAGGTGTTCAGTAAACATCAGCGATAAGAAAACGTTTCTGAATAAACTGCCAATTTCTGGATTGCTGTTTTTTCAACAGGTCCCTAGGACATACCTGCTGAAGGAACAGTGCTTAAACGATCAGATGATGAAAGGTAGTGGACAGGGTGGGGGATTTGGGTGGGCAGAAAGTAAGTGGGGGAAGGGGGTCGTATTCACTGAAGTCAAGAGGGAAATAGGGGTACCCACCCTCGATTATCCCTCCCCTTTCACACAATCACACTACTTCATAGAATGAGATGAGCTTACTGAGTTTATTTGGATAGAAGGGCCAGAAGTTTCTGTTGAGTACACATATATACCCCTGCGTGCACACCTGTGTACACACACTCACAAACACATACATACACGTACACACACACACACACACACACACACACACACACACACACTGAGCAGCACGGCTCCAGAAGTTGACATTGTCTGCTTGGAATTCCCGAATTTCACAGTCAGACGTGGATCTCAGAGGCCTGAGAAGGTCAAGCTATAGAGAAGAAATGGTCATGATGGGGTGACGTCCAGGAGCATTCCCCGTCAGCTATGTCCTAGGGACCCCTTCACCTCTCTTTACCTGAAAGCCAGCACCTCACTTCTACCCCTGCTCCTCTCCCTCCTCGCCTCCCTTCCTAAGAGGTCATTCCCCAGCTCACCTAGAGGGGTCACCTGGTGCTCCATGTCCCCACATGGCCCCTTTCCTCCCATGCTGGTTCCGGCTCCTCGGAGTTATCCATGTTCTCATAAGAGTCGGCATCTGGATAGGATCAGGACAGGATAAGGCAGAGGGAAGGAGGGAAGGAGTTGGAGGAAATGTCAGCACCAGAGGACACACAGGGGGTGGTAGCAGAACCCACCTTCCTCGTGACTGGGGCCAGACTGGGACTGAAGGGAGCGGAGCTGGGGGGCTGCATACAAGATCCCTCTCATATCTTCATAAGACTGGGACCCTGCTTGGGCAGGGAATGGAGGTCCAAAAGCCATGAATAGGGAGGAGGAGGAGAAGTATGGCCTCAGGTGAGAAGGGTGGAAGGTGGAAGGAGTGATTGGGGTTAGCATCAAGCTCGGGGCCCCCGTTAGCTGTTAAGGATAGGGCATGGGTTAAAGTCATTGGGAAAAGGGTCAAGAACAGAATTGGAAGGCATCAAGTTCAGAGCCATGAGAGGTTGTTGTAAAGAAAACTGGGACAAAAGCTGAGACCTGCATTGAGGTTAGCCTGAAATGGAAGTCAAGGTCAAGGTTGGAAGTGGATTAGATCAGTATTGATGTTCACGGTTATGGTTTGGGCAAATACTAGAGGTCAGGGAGCTCAGGTGGACTAGTGGCAAGAAGCTGCACTGCAATCCCAGAGACGCATAGTTCGAATCCACCAGATGCTCTGCTGGAGAGGCAATCTCCTCCTGTACCAGTCAGATCCGATTTGACAGTATACACACACACAAAAAGTTTAAAAAAAGATATCAAACTGCCTACTTTTATTGCTAACTAGCTTTCATTGTTTAAAAAGCCCCACAAACTTAGGGAGCTCTGGAGGCCTAGTGGCAAGAAGCTGCATTGCAATCCCAGAGATGCATGGTTCAAATCCACCAGATGCTCTGCTGGAAAAGAAGGGGCAATCTCCTGTGCAAGTCAGATCCAATTTGACAGTATATACACATAAAATAATAATAATAAAAAAATACTAGAAATCAAGGTTGGGGATGAGGTTAGAGTCAGGAATCAAATCCAAGGCCAGTACTAGACTAGCTCAGAATCAATGTCAAGGTTGTATTAGGGAGCCGGTGGTTAGGTGGGTAAGGCACACAGCCCCAAGCATCTCTTACCAAGAGAAGTTGCCTCCCGACTAGGATCCCAAGCAGTCCTCTGGGGGCTCAGGAAGTCTAGGACAGGAAGAAGGAAGTCACCATTGCCGCCTCCAGCACCCCCTTTCCCCAGGAATGTCACCTCACACATACCTATTGCCCTGGCAACAGGCCTGGCCTGCTCCTCATCCTCATTCTCGTAGGACTCAGATACTGTTGCAAAGAAAGGAACTCCAATGACCACTTCTGTCCCCTAGGGGCTCCACAGTCCTGGGGATCTTCCCAAGTGTCCGAGGTCCTGTGAAATCCCCAAATTACCGCTGGAGAAGGAGTCGTCCTCAGGGCCCAAGGTCCCTTCCTCAGGGTTCTCATAGCCGCTGCCATCTGATGAAGAAGGAGGGGTTATCAAGCGAGGGTCCCCAACCCGCCACTGAGGAGCGGGGAATGGGGTGTGAGGGAGGGCAGCCTCACCCTGGGAGAGCTGCTCAGGGGCTGGGGTGTTGCCATCATTCTCATAGAACTCAGAGGCCTCGCTGTCGGGCTCCTCGTAGGCCTCCCCCTCTTCTTCTTTCAGGTCTGGAGGCAAGAGTGGGCGGGGGGAGTACAACTGATGCTCTTTGTCCTCTATCCGGGTCCCCATCCACTGTCTCTGCCATAGTTCAAGCCATCTCCCACTTTATGTGCTCACCAGCTCCTGGTGGGCTGCTTGGCCTGGAGGGGTCAGGGTAGTCATTTTGCGGCTTTCGGTAGTGCATGGCAGTGGCCCCCAGGCCAGCAGCCCACCGCAGGGCACGACCTGGACCAGAGATGGAGAGGGAGAGAGAGAGGGAGAGGGAGGGGGAGAGGGAGAGGGGGAGGGAGGGAGAGAGAGAGAAAGAGAGAAGGATAGAGCACGACTTGCAAGGGGAAAGCTAGGGGATACTTTCTGTCTGGGGTTGGTGTGGCTCTAAGGCTAAATGCTCGTATTTGAGCCATTAAACTGGGGGGGGGGCAGGATCTACTCTTGGGGCGTGGCCACCAGTTTGGACATGAGACTCAAACTTGAGAGCAAGGTTAAGGGTCTTGGAGGAAGGCCTTGACTCTGCTCTGTGTTCTTGAGCTGAATTTAGAGCCCTGGGAGAAGAATTGAAGGTGTGATGTTTCAGGCTGGAAGGGTGGGGCTCTATAGAAGCTTGGGGGTGCCTCCTACCAGTGCCAGAGTTGGACGTGGGGAGAGACAGCACATTTCCATAGTGGTTCGGAGCTTCATTTCCAGGGGGAGGTGTCACTTTGAAGAACCTGGTGGGGGGAAGGGGAGTTGTACTCTGCACCAGGCCCGGCGGGGACTGAGGAATATTGTCAAGACTTGAATCAGATCCTCAGAAGCTAAGATGTGGCTTCTCACAATTAAGGCCTCTGTGCTGTGACAGCAGTGAGCTGAGGAAGCTCCCAGCCCACGAAGAGGATTTTACAGAAAAGGCCGCTTTAGAATTGGGCTTTGAAGGTTGGGCAGTGTGTTAGCTCTGTTGTCGTTGTTGTTTGTTGTTGTTGTGTGCCCTTGAGTCAGAACCAGCTCACAGCAGGTTTGCGGAGGCTGCGAATCACACGGGAGGAGATTGCCCATCTTTCTCCCGAGGAGCCGCTGATCGATTTGAGCTGCCTGTCTTTAGGTTGGCAGCACAACCCCTTATCCACTAGGGCCCTCGTCAATCTGGAGATGAAGTAAGAAGACACGGCAAAGCATAAAGTCAAAGTAGGGGAAGGAGCTCCGGCATTACCTCCTGTTGGGGTCAGTCATTCTCTTTCTTTTCCTCCTCAGGATCAGAGCTGGTAGGAGTTGGGGGGAGTAATCACATGAGGAGTTGGCTTGGTAGAGTGAAGATGGGGGGCTAAGTTCTGGGGAGATCAGTGGTATCAGGGGAGGAGATGGTAGTTCAAATTCCAAGGGGCCTGGGGAGTTTGAGAAGGTTAGCGGAGCCGTTGGGGGTGGGTAGAAGTCTGGGGTTTGTGGAGAAGGGATGGAACAAGAGAATGAATGGCCAGTGTGGGTTTATCCTGAGGCAAACAGGGCTAAGGGTTGGGCCAAATGGCTGGGTGATTTGACTCACCTCTTTGAAGACGAAGAAATCCCAGCAAGGAACCCAGGCAGAGGATCAGATAAACTATAGTCACAACTGGAATCTTCCAGCCACCAGTTTTTACCAGCCAACGCCACACTGTTCAAGAGAAGGGAGTGTGAGATGAAGACCCCCACCTGGCCTCTTACTGCTCAGTCTCAAGATCTCAAAGCTCTGTAAGCCCGTCTGAGGGTCATGGACAAGACAATGATCCTTGAAGTCTCAAGTAACAAGAAGAGTTCTCCTCTCATCTTGTGTGAAGAGGAATGTCTCAGAAGGACACAGAGGCTGACCCGAACCTCAAATAGTGTCTGGCGTTATCTGTTGAGCTGCCAGGAGCAAACCTTGACTATGGCCAGAGGTAACGTTAAGTTTAGGGAGATGCAAGGATCAACCTCATGCTATATAGTTAAGGATAGTCATGGTCAAAGTCAAAGTCAAAAGCAGAGTTGTGTTTACCAGACTAGAGTGGGGATTTGGCACATGAGTGGAAATTGATGCAGAGTTTGAGAACTGTGACTTGAGTAGATGGTGTTAGTATGGCACAGGAAATATAAGCGAAAGTGGTAACCAGGCTGGTAGATTGGTGGTGGTGGTGTGTGCTGGGTCCGAATTGACTCAGAGCTGACCCTTCAGCAGGTTTTCAGTGGCAGTTAACTGCATAGACGGAGATTTCCCATTCTTCTCCATCAGAGCGACAAGTGGAGTCGAGCCACTTGCTTTTGGAATTGCAGCACAGCTTCTTACTACTAGGTCACAATGTCCAGGCTTTTAACTTGGGCTAGTGGGAAAGGGGTGCCTTTCACTTTCAGAGGGGTTCCCAGAAGACTATATATGGGGGGAGAAAGATTTGAGTTTGATGTTGCAAATGATGAGCTCGAGGTGTCGATGGGTGTGTGGGCCTTAGAGTCAAGTCACCAAGACAAGAATGGTCCAAGGAAGTCAACCCGGAGCAGTGTGTAGACGAGATAAGAGAATGTAAACAGGGATGAGAGTGATAAGAAAAGGTACCACATTGCTACTGAGTCAGAAGCACTGACTCAGCTGAGCCTCCGGTGGGTTTCCAAGGCTAAAGGTTGCATGAAGATTGCCCTCCGTTCTCGCTGAGAGCCAGAGGGCTCCATCTTTGGGTGAGCAGTGAATTTTCTAGGGACAAGGTCACTAGAGCTCCCTGGAAGAAGGAGTCCTCCCAAAACGGACAGCAAGGAGCAGCTGAAGGCAGGAGAAGGTCCAGAAAAGTAATGTCTTCAAACCAGAAGAGGGAAGAGTTGGAGTCATTATATAGAGATTGGGTTCAAGATGAACCCTTAGAATGGAAGGGTCCAAAGTTCACGAGCTTCCAGGTGTTCCCTGTAACCCACACAGATGCCCCACAATTGAACACCACACTACCTGACTTGGCAGTAACGTCCAGCTGAATCTCAACGGTCAAGTTGCCATGGCGACAGTGGTAGGTGTCAGCATCTTGAATGGTGACCTGGGGTAGGAACAGAGAAGTCCCTCCCCAGAGGGTCCTCATCACCCACATCTCTCTGGTGGGGGAATCTTCCTTTAGGTCTAAGTTCAGCAATAAGACGTTAGGCTTCTCAGGGTGCACGTGGATCCAGGAGATGGGTCCTCTGGCCACAGAGGCAGGGGGTATCCCACAGGGTAGCCAGAGTATAGAGCCAGAGGCCACAGTGAGGTCTGAAGTGGGGAGAATCAAAGCCAGGAAGGTCTTATCCCCTGCAAGCTCTCTAGTTCCAAGTCCCACCCCCGAGCCCCTGGACCCCCACTTCCTGGAACCTCATTAGCCCCTGTCATTTTACCTTGGGAGAGACTCTGGTTTGAACCGCCCTGAGGTGGAGGGCATGCAAAGCCTGTCTTCCAGGCCCTAGAGTGATCTGTGTCCCATACGTACACCTGGGAGCTGACTGGGGAACCCGGAGAGGGCCTGGGCCCTTCTGAGGGCGTGGGCCCCAGGTCACAGTCTTGACCATCTAGGTCTGAAGCATTCCACCTGAACATCTCCCCTGCAAAGAGACCCAGAACCAATCAACATCCAGGAGAGAGAGAAAGATGAAGAGACACAGAGAGGCAGAGATAGAGAAAGTCCCAGAGTTAGTGGAGAGACAGTTCGATATGGAAGCCTCTGAGTCTCCCTGCTTGTCAGACCGCCCAGCCCTCCCTCCGGCTCAGCTGTGGCCCCTGGACTTCCCGCATCCGCATCCACAGTCAGCCTTCCTTTCCTGGCCCAGCACCACCCCACCCACCCTCCCAGTCCCCATGCGGTCCACCCTGTCCCTCACCACTGCCTTCCACGCTGACCGTCCAGCCGGGCTGCCAGGCCTGCACAGAGGGGGGCTGGGCCTGGCACAGGTAGAAGCCCCCCATATGATCTGAGACGTTGAAGAGGAGCATCAGGATGCCCAGGCGGCCCACCCAGATGCCCATGTTCTCTGCTCTAAAGTTCAGCTCTAAGAAGGGCGCTGGCTGTGACTCCCGGGACCAGATCAGGGACTCAGCGGTCTCATTTAAGGACTCCTTGAGGCAGCTCAGCACAGCATCTTCTCCCTCTGTAGAGAGAAAGAGAGAGGGGAAGTGCCCTGCCCCCCTTCTCCCTGATCTCTTCTCACTGAGTCTGAAACCCAGGACCTCACAAACTGGCCATTGGGTGAGGCCTCTGTCCTTCCAAGCCCTCTCTGAGGTTAACAAGTCAGAAAAAGGAGACCAGACCAGGGGAGTTCTTGGCCAACGGCACTCCGGGCTCGGGTGCCCACGCCTTCCCTCAGTGCCTCCTGGACATACCTTCAACCTTCATCAGCAATTGTTTCTGGGGCCTGACTCGCCCAGGGGTGAGGAAGAGGAGGAAAAATAGAAGGCGAGGAGGTGGCATGGTGGCCAGGCTCCCCGGGGCACCCAGCTTCTCCGCGCAGGGGATGCTGGGGCAGGCGGGGACCTGAGGGGGGCACTGAACCATGAGTGTCTGCGGGGGCGGGTGGGCAGTCCCCTAGAGAGGAAGGGGTAGTCACGCCTCAGGCTCTCTTTCCCAAGCAACCCCCCAGACCCACAAACCTCACCTCTTCCCGCCTGAGACAGTTGAATTTCCACCCCAGCCCGTCCCATGTGAAGTGATCTTACCATGCATCTTCTCGCTCACTTTCTGGACTGACACCATGGTTGCAGCCATGGGCTCCAACAAGCGCAATGCTCACTGCAGATGGCTCAAGACAGGGCTGTGTTTTGTTCCATTGTGCACGTCGAAACCATCTTCACAGCTTCATGCTTTCTGTTTCCCCAGCTAGAGTGCGAACAGCTTGTAGCAGAGATTTTCCCTGCCCTGGTGGTGTAGTGGGTAGTTTTGCTGCTAACCTCTCTGGTGGTTCAAATCCACTGGTTGCTGTGCAGGAGGAAGGTGGACGATTTCCTCCCATGCTCCTTACAGCTTCCTGAAAACCTGCTGCAGGGTCAGCTCTGAGTCCATTCCAACTCAGTGGCAATGAATAATGAGCATAACCCGAGTGCTTAGCACATAGTAGGTGCCCCATGAATATTTATTAAATGAATAAATGAAATCTCAGTTGCCTTCTTCTACCCCTTCCTCTCAAGCCCAGGTGCGCATTTATTTCCCTTCACACACATCCTCGTCATCCTTCGGCCAACATTTCCTGGACTCCTGACGCGTACATTGATGGCTGGCTGTCACACACCCCTGGAGACTGGGGGATGTGAGTTTGAATCCTCCACTCCCACCATTTCTTTAAATTGACATTTTCTGCACCTTTCAAAGTCTCAGTTTCTTCCCAGTAAACTGACGAGAATAAATGTACTATTTATTGTTTACTGATGGGGTTGCTTGTGAAAATTAAAAAGGACAGTATGCACATAGTTTTTTCTTCCCAGTGCTCAGCACACAGTGGGCCCTCCGTTAATGAGCAATAGCATGGGCAAGTTTTCTGATGCATATATAAGAGGTAATAGGAAGATACACACTCTACCCCCATGAACAGTTCTGCAGAGAAACCCATCAGCGTGTCTAAAGCATGGTGGGAATGATTGATGATTGCTGTTATTGTTGTTAAGTGCCATTGAGTCACCTACAACTCAGAGCGACCCCAAGCTCTGAACCCTGTCCTATCCTGAGCCAATCTCATCATCTCCAACAGCCCTACTGCCATTTCTCCGGTCACTGAGTCAATCCATCTCATCCTGGGTCTTCCTCTCCTGCGCTGTCCCTTCACTCTTCCAAGCATGATGTCTTTCTCCAAGGATCAATACCTCCTGGCCATGTGCCCAAAGTATGTGAGATGGAGCTTAAAAATTTTTGCCTGCAGGGAACAGCCTGGTTTCACCCTCTCCAGTACAGACCTGTTTGTTCTCCTGGCAGTTCACAGTTTGTTCAACACTTTTCTCCAGCACCACAAATCAAAGACATTGATCCTTCTTCTATCATCCTTAGTTATTGTCCAGCTCTCTGATGCAGAGCAAATAATTACAAAGACCATGGCCTGTGTCAGGTGCACCTTAGTCTCCAGACTGACATCGTTGCTCTTCAGTACTCTAGTATTCCTTTTTCTCTCAGTTTCTCCCAGAAAGCCCTGGCTTCAGTTATAAAAGGAGCTCATTTAGAAATGGCGACGTTGAGACCCAGAGCAGGCCACAGGATTGCTCATATTCAGTGATCACACATTAAACTGGTAGTACAGTGGTGTGCACTAGCAACTTTGACCCTAAATTTGTTAATCTGTTCTTCTTTCTCTCTACCTCTCTCTCTCTCTCACATACACACACACACACACACACACACACACACACACACACTCACACAAACTCTCACTCTGGAAAAGGGCCATGAAGCAGTAGAACCACTAGACCCACTTTCTCAGTGACTGATTCCTAGGCCAGTTTCACTAAACTGTGGCTTCCTGTTTGCCCCAGGCAACCCCCAGGGGACCTTCCAGGTGGCAGGGCCCCTTACTTCCCTTTGGCTGGGTAGAGGCAGCAGAAGGAGTTAGAGCAGAGCACTGGGGCCTGGAGAGGTCCAATGACAGGATTCGCTTTTGCCTTTCATTCAGGAAAATCTCTCTAGTCCTTTTCATTGGCTCCTGGCTGCCACAAGTATCCAAGCAGTCTTCTTTTTGGTTCTTTAATCAAAACTGCCTAAGAGGACCTGAGGGATGGTGCCCCTGCCAACATTTTCCAGTTCATCTTCTCCACTCTTGGCTCCATTACTTTCTGTAAGCAAGGCTGTTGTGTCCTTATAACGAATTGTTGATGAGTCTTTCTCCAATCCTGATGCCACATTCTTCTTCATATAGTCCAGTTTTTCCAATTATTTGCTCAGCATACAGACTGAATATATATGGAGAAATAATATGACTCTGATGTACACTTTTTCTGATTTTAAACTATGCAGTATTTCTTTTCAGTGTTATTCCGACTTAGTCATCATTCACACAGTCTTTACAATGTCAATAAAACACAGGTAAACATCTTTCTGGTATTCTCTCCTTTCAGTCAACATGCATCTGAAATCAGCAATGTTATGCCTTGTGCCGCAGCCTCTTCAGAATCCAGCTTGAATTTTTGGCAGTTCTCTGTTGATGTATTGTCCCAATTGGTTTTGGGTTTTTTTTTTCCCTTCTTTTTTAATTGAGATTTTAATGAAAGTTTATAGAGACTTTGGATTTCTCTTCATACATTGTTGAACATTTTCCTCCCTACCCACCCCTACCCCTCAGTTCGCTTTTCTCTTTTAAAAGAAAAAAAAAATTCATTCTATCATCCTTAGTCATTGTCCAGCTCTCTGATGCTTAGCAAGTAATTATGAAGACCATGTCCTGGACCAGTTGCACCTTAGTCTCTGGACTGACAGTATTGCTTCTCAGTACTCTGGAGAGGTATCTGACAGAAGATTTAACTAATACAATTTGTCTTTTGACTTCCTGACTGCTGGTGTTAAGAGTGTTGATTGTGGAACCGAGCAAGATGTAATTGTTAGAAACCTTAATCTCTTCTCCATGCATCATGACGCTGTCAACTGCCCCAGTGGTTAAGAATCTTTGTCTTCTTGATGTTGAGCTTCAGTCCACTTCTTGTTGAGTTTACAGTAAGCAACATCATGATAAACAGAGAAAAGACTGACATTGTCAAAAGATTTCACTTCACTTGGATCTACAATCAACATCCATGGAAACAGTAGTCAAGAAATCAAACATATGTCATCAGCAGATCTGCTGCAAAGGGACTCTTGGAAGAGCAAGGATATCACTTTGAGGACTAAGGTGCCTCTCACCATGGTATTTTCAATCCACTCATATGCAGTTGAAATTTAGATAATGAAGAAGGCAGACTGAAGAAACATTGATACCTTTGAACTGTGGTTCTGGTAAAGAAAATTGACAACATGGACTTGATGGTACCTAACAACAATAAAAACCAAAAAAAAAAAACAACACCCCAAACAAACCAATTTGTCTTGGGGGAAGTGAAATGCCTGTTCATGCTCATTGTCCATTTTCACAGGATTGGCTTGGGATGGATTTCATATTGGATGAAGCAGAGATAAGATACGACCTGCTTTACAAAAAGTATTCCAGATACCTTTGGGAGAATAAACTAAAGGAGCTAAGGCATTGGAACAGCTAGGAGGCATCGTGGAAGTCCAGGAAGGATCACAGGACTGTGTATTGTCAGCACTGGAGATGGAAGAAAAGGGGCAAACACCTTCTGGAATATTCAGTCCATTAGAAGTAGAGCATCCAGGGTTTGCAGTGTCTGGGGTGCCACTTTACTGAGAAGCTGGATTGTCTTCAAGTCAAACCACTTCATAGCTGACCCTCCAGCAGGTTTCCAAAGTTATAAATGGCACGGAGGAGACTGCCCGTTTTTCTCTCAAGTGGCTGGTGGGATGGAAGGTTAACTGAAAGTTAGCAGGGAAAACTATCCATGGCCTAGGCCACCAAAGGAGAGGGAAATTGAGACTTTTGTATATTAGTTTGAGTTGTCTGTCACTGTCCAGGAAGGAGCTGTCAGATGGGCTCTTAAAGGAATGATCACAGATAATGAGGGCTTGACCTATAGCTGAGGTCAAGGGAAGGAGTGATGGGAAGAGGATTAGCAAGAAGCTGGGACTAGTCGGTTATCCGAACGGGGGTGGGGATGTGCAAGTTTCCTACTTTTACAACTGATGCAAAACACAGACTCAGAGGCACCAAGGAAAATGATGTCGTCCTAGTGCTGCTGGAAGGATGCTGACGAGGGCAGAGAAGGGCTGGCCACAACTCGCTCTAACCAGTAAGGGCCGATCAAAGCCAGGCTCCCGGGATCCAAAGCGAGAGCGACCTTCCGTCTGTTGACTAATGCTGGCAGGTGTCCCGGAGGAGGTGTAATTCGGGCAGCGCTTCCAAGGTCACGAGGAGACGCCGTGGCGAACCTTTGGAGAAGTCACTCCTCTGGGACCCGAAGGGCGGGTGTCCTGCACCACAGCGGGCCTCGGCAGGGAGGCGGACGGGTGGGCGGGACTGGCTTCCTCTCGGCAATCTCCGACACAGCCTTGGCACCACTCCCTGCAATCTCCGGCCTCTGCCCAAGCCCGGAGTCCATCCGGAAACAGCCGAGCGGATCCGGAAACAACCGAAAGGACCCGGAAGCGGTGAGCGTGGTCACCCGGGAGTGCGGGAATCCACTGTTTGCACCGTGGCGATGGCGGCAGCTGCGTCGGCAGCTGCGAGTGAGGACGGCCGGAGGCATCCCGGAGTCGGTACGCGGGGGCGCATCCATACACACGAGGGGCGGCGGGCCCGCGGGTGGAGCCGACCTCAGCGGCGGTGGATGGGGGGCGTTGAGGGGAGCCAGGGAGAGGGACGGGGCCACTCCTCCCTTGGAGAGGGGGGCGGGGCCTGGAGCCCGGCCGATGGGCGTGGCCTGACGATTCCAGGGGCTGGGCCAGTGACAGGTGAGGGGTGGGGCCCAGAGAGGGAAGGAGGGGGCGGGGCAGGCGCAGAGGGGGCGTGGTCATCAGGAGGGTGGGGCCGGGGATAGCTGGAAGTGGGGGAGATTTAGAGAACTGAGAAACCCTAAACAAGCCGAGCTGATTAAAAAGGGGCGGGGAAGGGTGGGGCCAGGTGAGAGGGGCGGGACCAGGTGGACGGAGGTCTACTCTGGGTGCAGCCCTAGTTTGCATGTTGAGGTTTTGCAAAAGTTGTGGGGAGCAGAAAGTGATGGGAAGGGAAGCTAATCCCTGTCCCCTACAGCGCTGGACCCCCAGTCCCAGGAAGGGGCACAGGCTGAGGCTGGGGAGCTCTGTCGCCTTCGGGCTGAGTTGGCGGGAGCCCTGGCAGAAATGGAGACCATGAAGGCTGTGGCGGAGGTGAGCGAGAGCACGAAGGCCGAGGCCGTGGCAGCAGTGCAGCGGCAATGCCAAGAGGAGGTGGCCTCGCTGCAGGCCATCCTGAAAGGTGAGAGGGGGCTTGTCCCCGCGCGCTGCCCGCCAGCCCCATTCAGAGGAGTCACAGGAAAGAGTGCAGCCACGCTTGCTAGGACGCGGTCCCCGCTGGGTAGGTTAGCAGAGGCCTGGGCTCTCCGCTTGTTTGCATAGCGCTCCCCGGCTTCCAGCTACAGCTAAGTTTAGCTCCCGAGCATCGACCTGTTCCCCTGCCGCATGTCTTTTCCTGTCCCTCACTGATGACTGGCCAACCCTGAAGATGAGCAGAGCCCTTCTCAGTTCCCTGAACAAATCTCTTTTTCATCAGGCCCTCTGGGTTACCCACCCAGGTTTGGGCCCAGTCAGGCTTAGAGGTAAGGATTTGAGCCCCAGTCAAGGTTCAAGGCCAGTCCATCTCTCTGCAAAGCTACTGTCTTAACCACCATGGTCACGTCCTCCCAGAGAGTCCGTGTGTTCTCTCTCTCTCTCTCTCTCTCACACACACACACACACACTCTGGGGGTCTTGCACTCTGATACGCCCCCTCCCGCTCTCCCTACCCTGTCAGACTCCATCAGCAGCTACGAAGCCCAGATCACTTCGCTGAAGCAGGAGCAGCAGCAGCAGCAGCAAGACTGCGAAGAGAAAGAGCGGGAGCTGGGCCGGCTGAAGCAGCTGCTGGCCCGGGCCAACCCCTTGGACTCCTTGGAGAAGCAGATGGAAAAGGTTGGGACTGAGATGACGCTTCTGGATTTAGAACGAGGTTGAGTCGAACGAGGGTGGCGGTGCAGTTTATTATTGTCCTGTTTCCAGATCTCTTGGGAGCAAGGCTATTCTTGTTATGGGCTGTCAAGTCAGAACCAACTCATAGCTGACCCTCAGCGGGGTTTCAGAGGCTGTATAGGAGGAGATTGCCCACCTTTCTCCAGCAGGACATCTGGTGGAATCAAACTGCATGTCTTTGGGTTGGCAAAGCAACTTCTTACCGCTATGCCACTCGTAGGGCATCCAGTAATGATCCTAGATCAAGCATAGTTGCCAAGCTTGTGGCTCCATACAAGGCTTTCTCTTAACTAGTAGATTGTCTTAGAATGAATCTGTTTACCTCCAAAATGAGAGAAGGGTATCAACACCAGAATACCTCTCGTACATGAAACCCTGCTGTGACACTATGTGCTTGACATGGTCAATCTTCCCTGTCTCTCACCCATTTAACAGGTGAGTAACGTTAGTGTCCAAAGTTCTGCCACAGTTGTCCAGCTATGAAGAAACAGGATTGAGATTTACATCTAGTCAGTCGGTTCTAAAGATTCTGTTCTTAATTTCTGTAATACCGGATTTTCTTTATTATTTCCATTAAGGGCCCTTGTGGTGCAGTGGTTAAACATTCGATTGCTACCCAGAGGGTCTGAAATTCTAGTTCACCATCTGCCCTGCAGAAGAAAGATAGGGTAGTCTGCTCTTGTCAAGACAATGACAGCCTTTGAAGTCCTATGGAGCGGTTCTTCTCTGTCCTCAGGGTTGCTGTGAGGCAGAATGGACACAATGGCAGCAGGTTTAGTTTCGTTGTTATTGTTATTGCTGTTCTTAACAAGGGGAGCTCCAATGGCTTAGTGGTAAGGAATTATAATGCCATCCCAAAGGCAGGTGGTTCTAAACCACCAGCTACTCTGAGGTAGAATGATGAGCATTCCCTGCACGATTTCTAAAAACCGAGTAGAGGATCTGCTATGAGTCGGTTCCAACTTAACAGAATATAACAATAGTGACAACATTACTAATGATGATAATAAGGAGGAGTGGCATCCACTTCTGCCTCCAGAAACCCTGTGAACCTGCAGAAAGGATGAAAGTTATACACAGGGCTTTCGTACGTAGCTATGAGTAGCCTGTGACTCGATGGCACTTTACAACAACAACAAGTGCATTACTAAATTCATCATCTGTCAAAGTAAGTGTATATTGTTACCTCCTCTGATTGTCACAGCGACCCCATGGGATAGGTATTTATTAATTCTTCACTTTATACATGAGGAGACAGGTTTAGAGAGATGGAGTAAATTACCTGGTTAGAAAAAGATCAAAACAGGAACCCAAGAAAGGAAGCCTTGCAGCCCACAGCTTCTCAGCAACAGCTGCTGCTTGCATTCTGAGCGTTCCCTGGGGAACAGTTCCACTGGGTGGTGAAGGAGCAGCCTGTGCTGAATCAAAGCCACCTGGAACATCGGAAGGAAGGGTCTCAGGTCTGGCGTCAGGTCACTTCCAGTCCTGGCCCGGCCCCTCATCCAGCCGTATCTGTGGTCACTGAGCATCCACAGAGCCTGTATCCCAGACGGTCAAACAGCATGGACCATGCAAGCTTAACCTACCTCTAACTACTGTTCCCTTAAGGAAGTTGGAGAGATAAACTGAGCTTGTTTGAGACAAATGAAAGAGCGATTCACAGAGTAAAGCAGAATGAATTGGAAGAGGGTGGTGGCAGAGACGAGACAGGGTTCTGCCTGAGTTACTGGGCAGATGGCCTGGCCATTGCTGACCTCAGGCTTGTGGGAGGAGGAGGAGCATCAGTGAGTGGGTTCAGTGGTGGCCTACTGGTAAGGAGTTGAATTGCCAACCCAGAAGCAGGCGGTTCAAATCCACCAGCAGCTCCTCAGGAGAAAGATGGGCAGTCCGCTCCTGTGGAATGTACAGCTTCTGAAAGCCTGCTGGAGGGTCAGCTGTGAGTCGGTTCCAACTCTACAGCAATGAGAGAGAGAGAGACGTTACAGAAGCTGAGGGGCATTTGAGTGTAGATAACGCAGAAGCTGTTGGCTGTGCATGTTCCCAGCCTGCAGATACATCAAAAAAGAAAAGTTCAAGTGCAACAATGAGTGAATAGAAATCCAAAGTCTCTGTAAATTTTCATTAAAATTAATAATAAGTAATAACAATAATAAAGAAATGTTCAGCAATGTGGTATTGATGGGACTGTGAGGGAATATGGCAGTTAGGATGAGGTTTAGTCGGGTGACTGAAAGTGGAAAATAATGAGTAAGGTAGTTTATTTTTCTGAAGGAGATATTTCAGGACTGGTGTGAGTCCGTTCTGCGAGTCATTGGGAACTCAGGCTCCTTTTATATTGTTCTGTTGCCAAAGATCTCCTAGTCCAAGTGGCTGCCTGAGTGCTAGCCAGAAGATCTCCCTTCCGGCCTGTGAGAAGTGGGAAGAGGAAGTGTAAAGAAAGGCACCCTTCTCTCTTTAAGAAATCGTCCTAGAATGTGTGTGCGGGATACATCTTGTTAACCGGAACCTCGCTGCATCGTACTGTGTAGTGGAGGGGAGGCTGAGCAATTTTGATGATATGCTAGGATTTTAGGCCAGATCACCAGTCAAGTATGTGAGATTCTAAGACCAAAGAAATTGGGGGAAATGGGTATTGGGGAAGAAAAGTGTAAGCAAGTGAGCAGCAGGAAAACAGTGATGGCCTTTGGCCCCTTGACCGTGACCTAGGCCAAGTCCTGTAAGCTCTGAGAGTGTCTTGTCTTCTTACTTGTAACTGAAATGGAAGGGAGCACTGGTGGCTCAGTGGTAAGGAATTGCACTGCCAATCCAAAGATACACGGTTCAAACCCAGCATGTGCTCCATGGAAGAAAGATGGACAGTCTCCTGCTAGGCGGTTTTCTACCTGTGAGAACCCACTGGAGAGTTAGCTGTGGGTCAGTTCTGACTCAAGGATACTCAATGACAGCTAAAGTGAAGGGAGTTCTGATAGCCTAGCCCGTAGGGGGTTGTGCTGCTGACCCAGAGGTGGTGCCTCTCTGATAGTTCAAAACCACTAGCCGCTCTCTCTGTGGAAGAAAGAAGGGCAGTCTCTCCCATGCAGTTAAAGCCTCTGAAACCTGCTGGCGGGTCAGCTGTGTGTCCATTCTGACTCCACGACAGAGAGTTTAGAATGGAAATGGAGAGGGAAGGAGCGCCTTGGTGAGAGAGCGAGGAGGGCTGATGGACCCGGGGAGAGGCACTGTGCAAACCAGAGGGTCCCCAGGTCCAGAGAGGAGCCCGTTGCTTCTGGCCCCCTATCCCCAGGCCCACGAGGACTCAGAGAAGCTGCGGGAGATCGTGCTGCCCATGGAGCAGGAGATCGAGGAGCTGAAGGAGAAGCTGCTGAGAGCGGAGGAACTGATCCAAGAGATCCAGGTGAGGGGCCGTGGCGAGGAGGGGAGAAGCATTGTCTCAGGACCGGGGCCTCCAGCCTTTTCCCTGCCTTCTCCCTAGAGGCGGCCCCAGCACCCCACTTCCCTGCACGGCTCCTCGGAGTTGCTGCCCCTGTCCCGGGACCCATCTCCCCCGCTGGAGCCTCTGGAGGACCTGAGTGGAGATGGGGGTGCGGCAGCAGAGGTCTTTGCCCACAACTGTGACGACAGCGCCTCCATTTCCTCCTTCTCCCTGGGCGGGGGTGCCGGCAGCAGCAACACCCTGCCCCGCGGCCGCCGGGGCCTGAGCCCTGAGCAGGAGGAGACTGCCTCGCTGGTATCCACGGGCACCCTGGTCCCCGAGGGCATCTACCTGCCCCCTCCTGGTTACCAGCTTGTCCCAGACACCCAGTGGGAGCAACTGCAGGTGGAGGTGAGTAGACGGATGTGGGCTGGGCTCTTGGATGCGTCTGTTTCCCCCTTCCTCTAAGCACTTGCTGTGCATCCACTGGCCAGACCTTAACGCTCGGGGCGGACAGTCACAGGGAAGAAGACAAACTCTTATAGCTTCCTTGAAGGACAAGAAGCCAGATTAAACACAGATTAAATACCTGAGGAGAATAGTGTCACAAAGATACCCTCAGAGGAGAACAGAATGCGGTGAGTGGGTGGAGGTTAGCAGCGCAGGAGGCTGGCCCCAGCTAAGGTCTTGAGCCAAGACCCAAATTATGAACCCCAGAGGTTCTCTTCAAAGTTCAGGGGTCAAGGAACCCCAGAGACCAAAGGCCCCAAGGCAGGACACATTGTAGAATCTGAAGAATAGCAAGCCCACTGGGTGGGAGGAGAGATGAGGTCAGGAGGCAAGAGTCCCGTGAGGTCAGACCTCGTTGGGGCTGCCGCAGAGCTCAGATTTTCGACAGAGCAGTGAAGAGTTCCAGAGAGTTTACACCAGGAAGGGCCTTGCTATGCTGTGGGATTTTAGTAAAAGATGAGTTCGACAAGAGCATCGGAAGAGGTGTAAGGGTCGGAGGCTAACAGGTGCTAGGAGACCAGAGGGGAGATGCAGTGAGGTTTAGGAGGAGATGGCGCTGGACCAGAGGTGACAGTGGAGATGGATGGAAATGGCTAAGCTTGGGTACGTTTTGGAGACGGGGTCTGCTGATGGAGGGACCTGGGACTAAAAGAAAGGGAAGAGTGAGTGAGATCACACCAGCTCCTGGGCTTTTGGTCTGAGGGGCTTTGTGGATGCTGGTGCTGCAGAGACTCGGGAGAGGAGGCGGGGAGGCTGGTGCTGAGACGACGGAGGCTGAGGTGAGGGTTCTGTGGCAGGGGCGGCAGCTGCAGCAGGACCTGGAAAACCTCAGCCGCGAGCGGGATGAGCTCCAAGAGGGCCTGAGACGGAGCAACGAGGATTGTGCCAAGCAGGTAGGTCCCTGTTCAGTTCTGGCCCTGACAGGGCTTCTTGTTCCCCACCTTCTCCTGGCGGGGGGGGGCTGCCCGTGGCCTCACCACTGCCCTCCCTCTACCCACAGATGCAGGTGCTCCTGGCCCAGGTCCAGAACTCAGAGCAGCTGCTGCGGACCCTGCAGGGGACCGTAAGCCAGGCCCAGGAGCGGGTCCAGTTGCAGATGGTGAGGGCGAGGCTGGGAGATGGTTCCATCGGCAGTGGGAGGGCAGGGACGTGTGGAGAGTTGCGGGATCCACTCTGCCTGTTGAAACTTTCCTGAAGTTGAGGCCAAGTGGGTCAGTGGGCTTCCCGAGCAGACCAGTGGTTCGGCCAGGCTGGTGTCACATCAGGGGTCTGTGGTGAATCTTCGCTGTGTCATCAGAGCCTTGGGCTGCCATGGGTAAAACTGTAGAAAAGAGACCCAGCAAAGAGACATGAGCATTAAATATAGAGAGTGTGGTAGCAGGTGCTCAGGGAGACCCAAGGGCAGCGGCCAGTGACAACCACAGCGTCATGGTGAGGACACAGGTACTAGGGCCAAGTCAGACAGGAGCCAGGACCTCCTGGGCGGGGGAGGGAGGGCGCTGCTGAACGTGGCTGGGGGCATGCAGGCTCCACACCCCAGATTAGTTTTCAAGCTAAAAATCTGGGTATTTGTGTGACATCTTCCAGACTTTCATGTTGGCTACTGATGTAAACATTTACAAAATCCATGTGGGCCAAGTGAAGCATCAGGTATGGGCCCCAGACTGCTGGTGAAACCTCCTCAGAGGGGCAAGGGGAAACGGGCTCACTGGCTTAAGGAGGGATATTCCCTTTTCTTAGTAGATCAGAGCTCAGAGAGCCTAGTCCGTAGGGAGTTGTGCGGCTAACCCACACTCTGGTGGTTTGAATCCCCCAGCACCACTCTCCCTTGCGACTTACAGCTTCAGAAACCCAGTGGAGGGTCACCCATGAACTGGTTCTGACTCACCGGCTAAGAGGCTTTTGAGTAGATAAGGAAGGGGTGGATGGAAACACCTGTCAGTCATGACTGCGAGGGTTCGTCCCCACATCATCTGGTGTTAACTCACCCACCCCAGGCAGAGCTGGCCACCTCACACAAATGCCTGAGCCATGAGGTGAAGCGGCTGAATGAGGAGAACCGAGGCCTCCGGGCTGAGCAGCCCCCGTCTGCCGCCCCCAGCGACCTGGAGCGTGAAGACGGCGAGCAGCAGGTGCTTCCCAGCTCTGTGCCGGTAAGAGGATTGCGGGTGCCAAGAGGCCTCCCCGTCGGTCCTTCCGCCCCAGCACAGCGCAGGCTCAGTGAGAGCCATGGGGATGGTTGACAGACCCCGGCCACTTGGGCCAACTTGCTTCACACCTCTAAGGCTCAGCTCCCTCATCTGTAAAATTAGATCCTACCACCTTTCCTCGCTTTGGCCTGAAGAGAAAGTGCATCAGCAAAACTCTTGGCACAAAGAAAGCAGCCACTTGTGTGACTGACTTGTTATTCATAAGTGACGTCAGATCCACTAAATGGGATTTGTCATAATCTGTGGGTCATGGCAAGGTATCATTGGGTTTAGCATGGATTTCTCAAATTTATTGTTAACATCAACAACTTCTGGAAAATAGTAAGAACACCTGTAACTCTTGCCGATCCTGAGAATGGGAATTTACCTCTCCCTGCGTGCAGCCTTGACCAATGACATTCAGTGGCCCCTCGCCCAGCTCTTGTATGTTATTGTTGTTTTTGTTAAGTGCCGTCTAGTTGTAGGCGACTCATAAGCGACCCTATGAAGGAGAGTCCTCGGTGCTTGGGCGTCTCTCGTCCTCTCTCCAGATTCATAGGGTTTCCAGAGGCAAGCTATTACGGAAGTGGATGCCACTCCTGCTTCCAAGCTTGTTTTCATTGGGGAGCTCCACCCCACTCTGTCCACATTGGAGAACCAACCATTAACACATTTTGACACATCAGTGTCAGTGTTCAGTCTCACAGCAACCACAAGCTACTGCTGTAGACTGTACCGTATCTTGTACACCAGGGCTGTACGACCTAGAGGAATGTCTGAACAAAAACAATGAAAGACAGGCCTGAGGGCCGCGGATTAAAAGTCACCCACCTTTGGCTTGGTAGCATCGCTTTCTGTCCACTGGGCCACCTGATCTCTCTCTATGTTGATGTTATTGTTGGTAAGTGCCGTCAAGTCGCAGGCGACTCATCAGCTCTTGTATAGGTTGGATTATATATGTATGTATATGCTGGGATAGCCCAGTGAGGAGGGAGTTGCACTGCCAACCTAAAGGCAGGTGGATCAAACCCACCAGCAAGAGAACCTTCCTGCAAGAGAAAGGTGGGCAGTCTCTTCCCATGCAGTTTACAGCCTCTGAAAACACACTGGAAGGTCAGCTATGAGTCAGTTCCAACTTGAGGGCCATGCGTTTGAGTTTTGAGTTCTCTGCTGAACAATGACTTCATTGGTGTTGAGCCTTTATTTTGCTATCAGTGACTTGCTGAACTTTATCTCAGCACCAGTAGAAGAGTCACCCACGTTGCCACGTGAGCCTGTCATTGGTTCGTTTCCACCACGCCTAAGTCCTTTGCTGGCCCAGGGGGTTGTGTCAGTTCTCCCGATGATGGGCATTGTCTTGCCTGTTTCCTTCTTTTCTCACTCCTGTGCTCGCCTCTCCCTCCCTGTGACCCCTGCTCTAGCTGGTGGCTTTGGCCGGCCTGTCCCATGCCAAGCGTGTGACTCGCATTCTTCCCAGGAGCTGCAGCAGCTGATGCGACGCACGTGGCAGGAGGCACGGGCCCGTCAGCAGGCCTGGGAGCACGAGGCTGAGCGCCTTCGCATTGAGATTGTGACACTCCGGGAGGCACTAGAAGAGGAGACGGCGGCCAGGGCCAGCCTGGAGGGGCAGTCAAGGGTGCAGCGAGAAGAAACAGGTAAGGCAGACAGAGAGAGATAAGCCCCCCAGAGCTCCAATCCCCAAAAGACCGTTCTCCCACCAGGGACCTGGCATGGGGAGAGGAGCGGGCTTGCGAACTCATCTTGATCTCTCTTTCCTTTCCACACAGAGGTGTTAGAGGGTAAGTATGGGCTGGCCCTGGCCCCGGGTTGGGTGGGGAAGCAGAGTGAGGGTGGCCCTGACCCTGGGCCCTGTCCTGCCTTCTAGCTTCCTTGTGCAGCCTGAGGACAGAGCTGGAGCGAGTCCAGCAGCAACAGAGCAAGGTGCGAACACAGGGCAAACATGGGGTGATGAGGAAGGGGCTGCAGTGTGGGTGGGAAAGGTCCTGTGTGACTCCCTCAGGCAGCATCGAGGCGGCCACCAGCCTTGGCCAGAAGGAGGTCAGGGTTGTAGGTGGTGTGTCAAGGGGCTGCTGTCCAGACATCCTCGTCTTCTGGGCATGTGCCCTCCCATCTGGCCCGAGGCTGCGTCAAGGCCCTGTCACTGTGTCATCACAGGCTCCGCCCCCTGATGTCCTCTCAGAACAGAGGGCCAAGGTGCTGCGGCTTCAGGCCGAGCTGGAGACCAGCGAGCAGGTGCAGAGGGATTTTGTACGTCTGTCCCAGGCCCTGCAGGTATGGCATGTCCCCTACCTGCCAGGCCGCATACGGCCAGGGGACTTGTCCTGGGGGCGCAGGGATGGTGTGGCCCCTCTGCCTGATCTGTGGCTCTGGGAAAATGGATGCCTTCCAGGTATGCTCGTACTGAAGTGAAGGTGGCCCTTGACCTTGGCTGGGTGGGAGGATGGGCTTTCTCACTGAGGGTCCTGCATGTCTCCTCATCCCCCAGGTACGCCTGGAACGGATCCGCCAGGCAGACACCCTGGAGCAAGTGCGCAACATCTTGGATGAGGCGCCCCTCAGGGATGTCAGGGACATCAAGGACACCTGAGAGGCCGGGGCCAGGACCTCCCTCCATCTCCCACCCAGCCTGTCTTCACCCCAGAACCTAAAATCCGGGCTTTGGGGATTGGGACAACATCATAGCCCTCTGACAGGGCCATCGCTGCCCTCTCCCTTCAGTACCTCCTCCCAGGGGGGTGGCTGAGACTTGAGACCTCTGCTCTCAGGGATGACTCCTAGGTGAGGGTCCCACCCCCTCCTGGAACCAAAGGTGCAGTCTTAACTAAGCCTGCAGCTCCTTGGCCGCCATGCTGCCTCCCAGGTCTGTGACCGCCTGTCGCCTTCCCGCAGAACAGCGCTGAGTCATGAGCAGTGGCTGGGAGCCTTCAGTCCTGGCCTGTCTTGTGCATGTGCACGCGTGTGCACGCGGCCTGGGACAGGCAGCTGCCTGCTGGACGGCATGACACTAAGATACTTGTCCGCAGGGGCCCAGCCCAGCCCCCAAGAAGTTCAGAGGCAAAGCCAGACTTTTCTGTCATTTATTTTCAATAAATAAGCAGCTCAGATCAATCGGTCACTTTGTCCCTGCAAGCCCCACAGGGTGGGGGGGGGTGGAGAAGGAAGGTGTGATGAGGTCAACAGGTAGGGGAGGGTTGCTGCGGGTGGGAGGGAGGAGGGTGACGGGCATCAAGTTTATAAACAGAAATAGAAGGGTGGTAGGTGAGTGGGGTGGGTCTGTGCCACAGCTCCGGCTGAAGATTCATCGCTATCAGGGTGAGGAAGAAGCGGGCGAAAGGACTGGTCACTTCCTTCTTTCATCTTCTGGATCTGGAAAGAGAAAGAAGGGATGAAGCCGGAGGGGAAAGGAGAGAGCTCCTTGCAGGTACTCACCTGGAGAGGAGGGTCGCTGCTCTGGTTCCTCCCCGACTCACCTGTGTCCCCAGACCCCGGGCCCCACCATTGCAGCCCTAGCAGCAGAGGGAGCTCCTAGCCCAGCAGGCGCAGCGCAGCGCACTCCAGCCCGGCCCAGCCAGCGCGGCGCAGCGCGGCCCAGCGGACACTGGGGCCCAGGCCTGGGTGCCCCCCAAGGCAGGGGCCGGCCTGGACAGCAGTGCTGACTCCCATTGGGAAGCGCAGTGGGCGGCAGCAGCAGCAGCAATGGCTCCTCACGGAGCTGCGAGCGCGCGTGACCTCAGGTGTGGAGAAGGTGGGGGCAGGCGGCGGGCGGAGCAGCTGAGGGCAGAGGGCAAGAAGGGGGCAATACCTGTGACACGGGTTCAAAGAGGTGGAGGAGGGGGAAACAGGTTATCCTATGGCCAGAGAGGACAGAGAGACAGCCGTTACCATGGAGAGGAGGGGGGCTGAGGAGGCGTGGGGGCGTCACGGACACCGTCCACACCAGGCACAGACAGGAGGGAGAATAAGAGAGGGAGCTGGGTGCTCCCCACCCCAGTGGACACTGGTCCTACAGGCCAGGAACACCCCCACCTAGAGAGGAAGAGGGGGTTGGGGCGCTGCGCACAGGGAGGGACTGTGCCCACGGTCTGGGGGCTCAAGGCTCTGAGGAAGGGGAGCCTCTTACCTTCTAGATAATTCCGAGCAATGAACTTGAGAAGCTCGTCGAGCCCGATGACTGGAAGTGAGATCTTGAGGACCATGAACCACTGGTTCCAGTCCAGGGCCCGGAGCTTGAAGATCATCTGGTGGGGGCGGGGGTGGGGTGCGGAAAGGAGAGACAAGTACCCTGTTTAGGAGGTGGAGAGGGAAGCAGCAACCCCAGCGTTGTCCCAGCCCTCCTGTCCCGGAGAAGCTCCGTGTGTGGGGAAGAAGGCTCACCGGCAGGGGGTCGACGTAGAGGATGAGGAAGTGGAGGGACATGGAGAGGCAGATGGAGCCCAGCAGCCAGATGTTCACCCAGGGGGGCATCCGCAGGAGGGACTGGTTCTCAGACAGGCTGCGGGAAAGAGCCACGGAGCAAAAAGAGGGGCATGTAAGTGGTAAGGACAAAGCAGTGTGTGTCCTGATAGGGCTCTGTAACCGCGGGGAGCCCGAGGAAGGCAGCAGGGACGGCCGCACCTGTTGAGAGCATTGCACATTTCGATGGTGACCAGCACAGACAAGGCCATGGTCATGGGCTCCGGGGCCTCAAAGATCTCACAGTCCAGACCCTCAAAATCGGGGTTGTCCTCAGTGCACTGCATGAAGTGAGTCTGAAAGAGCAGGGGCAGGTGGGACACATGAGTCCCTGTCATGGCTCCATGTGACCCTCCAGGTCCCCACTCTCCACTCAGTCCTTCCCTACCAGCTGGCTGTAGCTGACATGAGGCCCATCATCTGCGTACAGAAACCACCAGGCTGCGGCACCCACCGTGGCTGCACCCACATAGCCTGTGTAGAAGATGAGAGTTGGGGGTCAGAGCTGGGAGCTGAGGATGAGGCCCATCGTGATGCTCCCAGGGAGCTGGTGTCCAGAAGGGTGGCCGGTCCCCAGGGCTGGGAAGGAATGGGGGACAGGGCTGTGTGCTGGCCTGCTCACCCCCAATTGCCATGTAGCGGAAGAAGAGCCAGCCGCTGATGAGGGGCTCCTTGGGGCTGCGGGGGGGCCGGTCCATGATGTCCAGATCAGGAGGGTTGAAGCCCAGGGCTGTGGCCGGGAGCCCATCTGTCACCAGGTTGACCCACAGCAGCTGCACAGGAATAAGGGCCTCGGGCAGCCCCAGCGCGGCCGTTAGGAAGATGCTGTGGGGAAGGAGGTGGTTGGGCCTCGTCCTGCTCCAGCCTGGCTCATTCCACCCCATCTGCACATCAAGTCACCTCCCAGTCACCCAAGAAGGAAGCCTGCCCCGGCTGCTCACCAGACCACCTCGCCCACGTTGGAGGAAATGAGGTAGCGGATAAATTGCTTCATGTTGTTGTAGATGGCACGGCCCTCCTCCACCGCAGCCACGATGGTGGAGAAGTTGTCGTCGGCGAGCACCATCTCCGAGGCAGTCTTGGCCACGGCGGTGCCAGATCCCATGGCAATGCCGATCTCGGCCTTCTTCAGGGCAGGGGCGTCATTGACACCGTCACCTGTCTGCAAGAAACAAGGACTCAGGACGCTGCCCCTTCTTGGACCCGCTTCACCGCAGCCATCCTCACAGACTGTCCCACCGCCCAGGCCTCTCACCATGGCTGTGATCTCATCGTAAGACTGCAGATACTCCACAATCTTGGACTTGTGGGAAGGCTCCACTCGGGCGAAACAGCAGGCCCGACGGCAGGCCTCCCTCTGCTCAGCCAGGGGCAGGTCGTCAAACTCCCGTCCAGTGTAGGCCCGGTCAGCCACCTCCTCATTCTCACTGAAGATGCCAATCCGGCGGCAGATGGCAATGGCCGTGCCTTTGTTGTCCCCTGTGATCATGATCACTCGGATTCCAGCATCACGGCACAGCTGGATAGAGCCTGTGACCTCCTTGCGGGGTGGGTCCAGCATGCCCACTACGCCAACGAAAGTCAAGTCCATCTGAAGAGATAGACAGGGGAGCATCAGGGTCAGAGAGGGACGTGGAAGATGAGTCAGGGAAGCAGCCAGGGGTGATGGAAGCAAGACATCTGACTGCAGCCCGCACTGGTAGGTGTTCAGACCTCAGTAGGGCCTGGTAGGCTCAGGGCAGGAGTGTTCCCGCTCATCTGTGTATGTGTAGTTGCTGGCAGGGCTGGGACCACCTTAAGTCCCCAGGCTTTGAGGAGGAAAGAACAAGAGCTACAAGTCAGACATTTCTGTTTTCAGTGTTTCACTCTGTTAATCAACTTTAAGCAAATCCATTTTACCCTCTGAAAAAGGAAATGAGTGGACTGTGGTGCTATTCAGCGTGCCAGCCCACTAGAATCAAGAGGCCTTCTGCAGCTGGAGGGGCTTGTGGTACAAGCTCCCCACCTGGCTATAGACCAACCCAGAAATGTGTTAGAGGAACCCAGGCTGGCTGATTCCAAGGGTTCTCTCAAGCTCTCACACTCTGTGTTCTATGACCCATGGTAAGGATGCTGGTCTCACTGGAAAGCTTACTCCTTGACACTGGGACACCAGGAGAGGACTGTCTACTCACCTCGTACTCCATGAACTTGGCAGAGTCATCCAGGACCATCTCCTCTCGCTTTGGGGGTGTGTCCCGGGTGGCCAGGGCCAGGCAGCGCAAGGTGTCTCGGCCAGTACCCCACTCTTTGATGACTGACATGATCTTCTCTTTCACTGGCCCTGTCATTGGGACCCGGGTTGTGCCAACTCGAATGTAGTTGCAGCGGTCAATGACCCCCTCAGGGGCGCCCTAAGAAATCAAAGCAGCAATTGTGCTTCTGTCACAGTGAGGAGCGGGACAGGAAGAAGGTTCAGGATTAGGAAGAAGAGAGGCATGAGGAAGCACTTTTTAAATTTCTGACCTTGACAAACATTTTGTTGCCCACAGCAGCTCGGGAAGATTTGGCTGGGGAGCAGTAGACAGACATTGACTTCCTGTCTCGGGAGAACTCCAGTGTGAATTCTTTCTTCATTAGTTGGCGGATTACCTAGCCGGCAGGAGATGGGGAGAGAGAACAGATTTGAGATTGCTGGGGGGGAAAGTAATGATGCAGTGTTGAAAAAATGGAGTCCTAAACTCCTTGAAAGGATAAACAAACAAAAAAATTTAAAAATCTGGAGGTCAGAGCAGACTCCAAGCTGAGCCTGAGACTAAAGCTACCCCTGATGCCAACAGTAAAAATGGAATTTCTGCCATTTTATTTACAGTTTAAAGCACAACTGAGACAGGATAACAGGTGAGAAAGAACATCCGAGGATGATGGAAATGTTTTATCATTGCTCTGTCCAAGATGGTGAACTGAGCTATTGGAAACTTGAAATGTGTTACCTGAATCTTCGCTTTTACTTAAGTTTACATAACCATATATTCTTTTGGACAGTGCTGGTCTAGTTCTTGGCATGTAGTACAAAGCATGCCACTAAACTGAGTGCCTTCTTACCAAATACATGTATTTGCCACAGTAATGCATTTCCGTCTACTTATCATCTGT